CATCATCATCATCGTCAATATCTACATATTGATCCATCCCTTTCAACTTCATGAAAACATGAAGCTTCTCTAGTTTCTTGTCTAACTTCTCAAACTTTTCTAAAACAATCGATTCAGACTCAGCCTTCTTAGTGGATAGTTTCTTGGTAAAGAATTGCTCGTCTTACCATGTGTCATCCATATGTTCCTTTCTTTCAAATTCGCCCTTGGCTTCATTGTCCTCTACTATCGCATGGTCTTTACCCTTATCTGATCGTAAAAGCTTCTCAAGATTGGCCGCTGCTATCTTTTCCATAATTTTCTCAAAATTTGAGATGGGAATACTGGTCTCAACCATATTATCCACAAAAGTAGAAATTGAAACTGACAAATCTACTTGAATCGAGAGGTTCTCAATCTTAATATGGGAGCTTAAAGAACTGGTAGAAACTGAATTAAGAAGGTCGGAGGGGATTGAAGGTCCTTCAACTCTAACCAAGCGATTGTCCGCTCTTAACCAATGGATCTCTTGACGAGTTTTCTCTCTTTGTGGCACTATGTTGACTGCACAAAATAAATTTTAGAAATGCCACATGATGCATGTATGCATGGATGCATGAATATGGTATGGCATACAAAAATGCAATCATACAACATAGCATTGTGAAATGCAACTAATGTTATATTTCATTATGCTTTATCATGGCTATTCAAGACTGAGATTAGAAAAGGGCTCTTGAGAACTGATAGGATCAAAATGTGCCCTATTTTATAATGACCTTTTGCTTATTATATTTTTTTGTTTCCCTTTCTTTTTGCCTCCAGTGCGATAGTTCTTGATCAGGGTCATTATTTATATACATTTGAGATTTTTTTTTCTTTGCTTTCTTTTCCTTTTGGCATTAATAATATTTGGCTAAAAATAGACAAACTTTACTTTCCAAAAGTTGACTTTTTTACATTGATAGTTCTTTTGGCCCTAACTAAGTATTTATAACTTTTGAAACCTAGAGCCTAAGAGGTTTGATATGGCTTAGCATCCTCTAGAGTGAAGTGCCCAATTTCCACAAGATGGTTGGTGATATTGCGCATGAGCATGAAACGCGTCTCCTCTAGAGTGAAGTGCCCAATTTCCACAAGATGGTTGGTGATATTGCGCATGAGCATGAAACGCGTCTCCATACCTTGGAAAAGAGTCATGGCCTCGATTTGTGCTTGCTTAATTTCAAGCAGGAGTTGGTGAGCCTCTTCTAATTTGTTTTCTATAGTTGATGTCAGGATCAGAGGAGCTTTCCTCTTAAGCACTTGAGCTTCGACCTTGTAGTCACTGATGGAAAGAGCTCATTTTGTTCATTTTGCTTCTAGCACTTCTCTTAAGTCCTTCGCCCTTTGGCACTTCGAATGTCGGGATCGAGCCATGATAGAATATACCTATATGGCTATCATACAACAAGTTAAATGATGCATGAATAAAACACAACACAATTATGTCATTAAATAAAAACAAAGGGGAACGGGAGTTGAAAAATGCATGATCTGCACTCTTATAACTCCCACTCACGATTCAAGGCATAGGTCTTTCTAATACCCTAGGACATGTTGGTTGGGCCCATAAACCATCATGGGATTTTTTGAACCGACGCCTCTCGCATTTATTGTATGAATGAAACAATCATAAATTTATTATGGTAATCCTATAAGGAAGGAACTAAGGTCAACTACATGAGCTTTAGTCGGGTTTATAAAGTCTTTTGATATATCATAAGCGAGAATTGGTTGTTTTCTCCTATTTTACTTTGGGTCTAAGCAAATGGTGATAACTGATTGTTCCAATTCTTTTGATATACCAAAAGGTACTTGACTTATGGGTGGTATATATTTGTGGCGGATCTCAACAGTCGAATAGAGTGAAAGGATTACAACCCCCAATACCACTTTTAGGGTTTAGGGTAGAAAAGAGATTAAGAAGAGATAAATGCATGAATGACATTTATAAGTACAAAAAATAACACAATTTAAAATTAAAAGTATCATTAAAGATTGTGAACAAGTGGACAACTTTTGGAGTCAATTCTCTACTCGAACCCAAAAACTGAAAAACCAGAGATTCGGAGTTCGATCCCCAACGGAGTTGCAAGGCTGAGGACGCTTGCGATTTTTTCATGAAATGAGGAAATCGAATCGGAACAGACTTGGTTTATTTTATTTAAAAAAGTGGTTTTCTTTTTATTAAATCCGTTTATTAATTTTAGAAATGGTGATCCTTTTGAAAAGGGATTGTAAAATATCTCTTACATTGGTAAGAGTTTTATTTTTTAGGAGTCGTCACCCTCTTTAGGGAGATTCTCGAACTAGTTGATTCTTGGAATGGACTAATTCGATTTTAAATCAGAAATAGGGTTCGGAGTTAGGTACGATATTAGGAAGGTGTTAAACACCCATACGCCTGGTTAAACCGGCTTCCTAGTTATCCATTAATTCACAATGAATAATAATATAATTAACTAGAATTGAGATGTAAAATAGTTTTAATGCAATTTTTGAAGAAATGTCATACGTACAAACTCATCCACAAAACATAAAATAAAGCATCCACAAAGAAATGGGGGAGGAGAAAGGATTATAAACCAATTCCTATCAATACAATCTACCCTATAACCCTCTAAAATTTTTCAACCCAATCAATATTACAAACAAGCAATTATAGGAATACAAATAGGACACTTTACATTTAGCCAAAATATAAAATAAAAATAAAGCAATAAATAAACATTCATCAAACATAAATACAACATAAATAAATTCTCAGAATCTCAATCTCATACACAGAATCATACAACAATCGTTCATTCAACAAATAATTAAATAATGCATGTTTATGTTCAAGGATTAATGAATAAAGGGTTAGTGCAACAATAATCATAATACAATGAATGAAAGGGCATTGTATGATTTGATATTTTTTGACGAAAATCTAATATATTATATTAAAAAATAAAATATTTATATTATTAAAATATACATAATCTTTTAAATACCATGTTGATATTTAACAACCATCTATTTTTTATTAATTAAAGCGTTTAAAATACATTTTCTATATTTAATAATTTCTTAAATTTTTAATTGTACAATTATACTGATTTTGCTTTAAACCATACAATTCAGATAGCCTCTAAAATACTCAAATATCTAATCATTTATAATTTTTGAAAATAACATATCATAGTATTCAGGAGCACATCATCATTGGTTAATTATCATAAATTATATATTTATAAATATAATTTTAAAATTGTGTCATAATATAATAGAATTTGATATTTTATAATAAAAGTTTATGTATCATAATTTATATTTGTTGATTTCGTATATAATAATTTAACTTGTAGACAATATTATGAATATTATATTGATATTATCATATATATGTAATTATAAAATGACCATAATAGTATCTCTATAGTTTGATTGTGTTATTTCTAGTAGCGTTTTGTCAAAATTATTATTATCACACAAATACAAATACATTTTTCAAGTTGAAAATTCATATATGTTTGTTTTGTCTTAGTTGGCCAACTTTATTATAAATTTTTTAACAATACAATTTTATTGTCAACCTATAATAATTTTAAAATATTTTTAAAAATAACGATAATAATTAATCAAATTATTGATGAAATATTGAAATTAATATTTTAAGTAAGTTACTCCTTATAATTTTACAACTCATTGTTTTGAGTAAAAATTAATATTTATCTATCTATAATGTTTTTTAATGTGAATATATACAAAGTAAAAGTCTTTTAATGTGAATCTATTTAGATATATAATATTTCTCAATGAAAATAGGCAATTTGTATAAATGAAATTAAAACTAATTTATTAATTTTTATCTTTAAATTTTAATTTGAGTCAATTTGGACAAAAAAAGTCATAAAAATATAAATTTATATGGATATTATTATTCTTGGGTTTGAATAAGATATCAAATATTATTATTTTATTGATTGGACTAATAAAAGAATAAATAAATATTTTTTTAAATAGTATTAGTAGAGCTTTATATATGTTGTTGAAATAGATATCAAGAATATTATTATTTTATTGATTGGACTAATAAAAAAGAATAGAATACAATATTTTTTTACATAATTAGTAGTTAGTAAAGAGCTTTATATATGTTAGAATATTAATTCTTTAATTTTGCTTGAAAAATTTATTATTTGACACTTAATAATGATATTTAATGAATATTTATTTATTATAAATTATCAACATACTTAATCATTTAGTATTAACATTAAATAATTAACTTAATTATTCAACATTAATTGTGTTAATTGTTTAAACTACCAAAATTTTTAAATTCTAATGGTTTCCACGGTTGAATGAAGAGAAGAAATAGAATAATTAACGAAAAAAGAAATTAGTCATTAATAACTTTTGATATCAAATATTATTATTTTATTGATTGGACTAATAAAAGAATAAATAAATATTTTTTTAAATAGTATTAGTAGAGCTTTATATATGTTTATAATATTAATCTTTAATTTGCTTGAAAAATTATTATTGACACTTAATAATTGATATTTAATGAATAATTATTTATTATAAATACACATATTAACATTAATATTAACATTAATAATACTTAATATCAACATTAATGTGTATGTGTAAACTACCAAAATTTTTAAATTCTAATGGTTTCCACGTTAATAGAGAAGATAATAAATAAATTAACGAAAAAAAATTAGTCATTAATAACTTTTTACATATAAACCAATGATACATCAATTTCATATATTATAAAATTAACTATTTAAATTATTTATAATTATGAGTTAAAAATGCAATGCAAAACTCATATTAAGTTTTACTTATATAAATTTAAAAAATTAATTTAAAAAATTTTAAACGAATAATTATTTAAGTTAGGGCAAAAATGTAGTTAAAGAATAATAAAAGAGTTAAAAGTGAAAAAATAATAAAAGAGTTAAAGAATATATTAAAAAAAAAAAAAAAACGCACCTTTCTCCTAAAGAACAACAGAACAAAACTTTTCAGTGAGCTGAAGCAGAGGCCCCCATTACATTCTCTTCTCTTCTCTGCTGTCTCTGCATTGTTTTTCCCTGTTAACAGAAGCCTCTGTCGACATACGAATACGGTAAGTAACCTATATCGTCTTTGCTCTTACCTTCTCAAATGATTTGAGTCAAATATCCTAATCTGTTTCTTCCCGAGATCCCACATGTTTTTTCTGTGTTTTGCTACTTTCAGTAAGTTTTGTTCTGTTGTTGAAGAATTTTAGTATTATGATTTCGGTTTGATTGAATTGATGTGTTTTAGTAGCTCATTTTGATCTTGATAGAGTGCGATAGTTTTGATATGATGTTTTGTTCAGGTTTTCCTTGGCCTCGCTGTCTTTGTGTTCCACTTTATTAAGAAATTTCAATCTTTCACTTGTTTATACCATCTTTAAAACTGAAATTCCCTCCATCACCGTACTACCGATCGTCAACGGCTAGCTCCACTAAGTTTTCGTGTCCGTACTAATTTATATGTCTTCATGGAGGAGAATTGGATTACTTTGCTTCACTCAACGCTACGCATAAATCAGTTAAAGCAAATACATTCTCTCATAATCAAAAGACATCCCACTCTTGCTCCATTACTATTTAATAATCTCCTAAATTTATCATTCATCGACTATGCTCGCCAAGTGTTTGATCAAATTCCTCACCCGGATCACTTTCTTTGTAATTCTCTTATCTCTGCTTACCCTAAACTTTCTTTGCATATTGAAGCTGTAAAAGCATTTGTTTCAATGCGCCATAAGAATATCCGATTGAATTGTTTTACAGCCTGTTATTAAAGCATGTAATGGTTTATTTTTTGTAAAAAATATTTCTCAAATTTATGGAAACACGAACTTTATGAAGAGTGGAAAATAATTATTTTATTGGGCATTCATCTTCTGTTCCATTCTGCTAACTGAACAAAGTTCACAAGAGCTTAGGATACCATTTTTCTAATTTCAATATCATAATACAATAAATATGGTAATATATCTTATTTTTATGTGCATATTAGTTGTCCAACATTTTACATTAGGTATTTATCTGAGTTGAATGACTTGAATTAACCACATGATAAATTCTAATGAGATAGTGTTGCCTCAGTTATTTCTGCACTATTATATTCAAAGAATGATAAAAAAATACAAAAATAAAACTCTGAAACACATGTACCTATAGTTTAAACTGTGTAAATGGTTTCGTGTGTTTTTTGGTAAAAGATTATTCCTGTATTTACAATTCTCTCTTTATTATTATGTTTTATCCTGTATTTGACATTATGTGGGCTAGGCTGGATGGACATAAATGGGCGGTCCATCTGACTCATAGAAAGCAATACATTAATAGTAGAGTTTGCCAATGCTTCGAGAAGAAGGGTTTTGACTCGGAGAAAGAAAGTAATCTGAACATGGGGAAAGAAGGAGAATTATGGGATGATTCAGCTCTTATCAAGGCTTTCGATGATGCCGTATGCCAGTACAAGGTTTTGTTTTAGCTTTCATTTCCAACTTGGATTTGCGATTTGATTTTCATTATATCTCTAAAATGTTGCAGAAAATGCATGGAAAGAAAAGCAAAGATACTTCCATTGATGCCTCTGCCATTACCAATCAAACTCAAGCTCATGAGACAAGGTAACATAGTTATAACCATTCTTATAATCAATTTTACCACTATACATCTATTAGTGTTACTTTGTTGTGCTTGCTGTATGAATGAACTTCAAGTGTAGAATTCATTTGCAAAATGAAGAGAATTTAGTTTAGTTATATTGACTTATATAGAATTGAAATTTGTATGAGTAAATTTTTTGGACTTCATTTACATGAAACACTAGCACCAAATTGGGTATAAATGAACTTGATAGAATTGAATTCAAGAAAGTGAAATCAACGTTATTCATTCATAAGTATGAAATTGCTATATATGGAGTGCCTAGTGCTAGTGAATAGGTTCATTTGTATTGCTGGTTAAATTTTGAAATGTAGAGATGCAGATGAGAAGACCAATGTTGCTAGCGAATTAGGAGTTGATGAAAATCATTGTGTAGATTATTCATCAAGTAGCCAACAACAGGTTCAAGCAGTCACTGAGTCTGACTATAACCAGTTACTTGCTGAGTACTATGATGTGGAGGAGAAGAGACAAAGGATTCTCCAGCAACTTGGTTCTTATGACTACCAACACTCTCAACATATGTCAAGCGTTGCGTGTTCATGTTGTTGCCCCTATGTTTCTCATTGCTCCTTGGGTGGAACATGTCCTTATTATTCCTCTGCTGTTGAGGGTCCCACAAAGCATGCCCCTCCCAATCTCATAGATGTCGACATTGTCCAAACAGCAATGGGAGCTGCAGAAAGAGCAATATCCTCTATAAACACACTAGGTAAGCATCAAGAAATGAAATGCCTTTTCTTGAATATCTGTTTTGTTATTTACATATTATTTTAAATAAATCGTATGAAACTCACTTTATTGGTGATGAGTTTTCATGTTTGATTACCTATATGATTCGTTTTACATTTTTACATTTTTACATTTGTAGCTTTACTAGCTTCAAATTAGAATCCATTAGTTTTAATAGCTTGTACCCTTATTCAGTCTAGAGTCATTTGCAAATTTTATCAATTTTGTTCAAGCATATATTATTAAAAATTAGAATTGCTAATGAATTTCTTTTATACCAAACATGTAACTATGAATTTGGAAATGAATTCTAGAAAATTTTATGAAATTTATACCAAACAAGCTCTTAGCGTTCTCCCATGCACCTACAGAGAAAGAGAAGGAAAAAGGGAAAGGCAGTGAGGAAAAAGTAGCACAAAGCACCAACTCTGAAACTGATCTCAGTGTTGTTTTAAATGCATGGTACTCTGCTGGCTTCTACACTGGCAAGTAAGTTATATCAGTTCTTTTTCCTCCTTATGGTTCTTTTTTTCTGTATTACTGTTCTGTATGATTCTGGCTAACATAATCTAGTCAGAGCAGGGGGCTTTTCAGGGTAAATATGTAATTTAAATGCAATGAGTTTAATGTTTGATGCAAAACTTCCTCAATTTTTAAGAGTTGGGATAGAGTATTTATATTTATTAGAGCTGCATATGAGCACAGGCTCCATGGAGCTTGGGTTCATAAAAGCATGTTCTTCGTTTTTCATGAGTTGAGCTACAGTTACCTTTAAGGCTTGACTACTGAATGATCTGAGCTCAACCTTGGTAAGCTTTAGCTTGTTTAGGCTACTTAGTTGGCCTATGAACCATCTCATATGTGAATTTTGTCGTATTTTGATTTTGAATTTAAACTCAATGTTTTTCATTTATAATAATTATAGAAATATTTTAAATTATTTTTTAAAAAGAAAATTGAATAGAAAATAATTTTATTTTTTTTTTTTTTTAGTTTTATATAGTATACTTAAATGTAATGTTTAACAATTACACATTCTATTACACAAAGTGTTGAAACTTGAAAATAACATTTATATTATGATTTATGAAATAAATAGTTTTCCCCCTTACCAGTGCAACTTTTTTTTACAACTTCAGTTTATCAAAATATTACTTTGGTTTGATTTTGGCTTATAGGTTTCTTAACAAATGCATCATACATGATTTAGAGTTGCAATATGCAAAACTTGCGTCTACTTAACAAATAAGCCAACCTTGAGTCTAAATCTGAAACTTATATCATGAGGCAAGCGCAAACAGATGATAAAATTCAGCTTGGCTCAGTTCGGCTCAATTATAAAATATGGCCTGTAAGTCATCTAGGGTTTGGGAGAATGAACCAATAAAAAAAAAAAAAAAGAATGGCATAAATCATTAATCTCTCTGATATGAAATTCTTGTTCACACGTGTATAGGTTCTGAACCCCTGATCTTCATCTGAGATTATAACTCAATTTACCAATTTAGCCGATCCCAATAGTTTAGTTCTTCGTTGTTTCCTCTCTTTTTCATTTTGGGAGTGCTTTGCTGGGATTAGATATTTGTGTTGAAGCCCCAGTAAAGAACTGAAAAACAGGTCCAAAAGAACCCTATCCTTGTACACTTAAAGATGAAAGTTGATGTATTTTTGCTTCTTATATGGAATTTTGATATTCGAGAATATATATACATCCAATTGTGCTCTATCTAATTTTTTTGGGACTTGCATTCTTATATAGGTATCTGACAGAGCAATCTATTATGAAGAAATGATATTGGTATAGGCGATTTGTTGCACTTTAGAGAAGCTGCATGTTGGGATTTTCACTGCAGGACCAAGTTTTGGCAATTCATTCAAAATTACACTTTGGAGAAGCTGCATGTGAGGTTTTTAACTTTGTATGCAAGCAAATGCTTTGTTAAACTTTGTTAAACTTGGCAATCATAGAGTCTGTGTTCGCCAAAATTAGCTATTTTATCTCTTGTTTGAAATAAATGAATTACATAAAATTTTGTGGAATTAATTTAGAAATCCATATTTTTGTGTTTGGAATGAAAAAAAATGTAAATTTCAATTCTATAGAATTGAACATAATTACACTAAATTCTACTTTTTATAGTCAAGAGGAACACCGCTAAATTCTACGATAGCGTTCATCCGTTATATGGGTTACCTCTTTACAATTTATACACCGCTAAATTATTTTAAAAAGTTGTTGTACGCACCATAATCAAGAGGAGCTTTTCATTTTTGTTGTATGCATTATGACTTCCATTTTAAAATAATTTAGCTGTGTATAAATTGTAATTTTTAAACATCAAATTTTGTTTTAAACAAAAATGGTAAGAGAGAAAAAATTTCACTAAAACAAGCATAAACAAACACCTCTCCTTTTCTTCCTAAACTTTTCTCTTTATTGAATGCTATAAAGTAAGTGCATGCTCGATAAGTTTGATTAGGACTCTGTTCAGCACTAGTATTTGAAGTAGTATTTAGTGTTTTGATAGGGTTGAAATACTATTTTAATTAATTATAGCGTATCCTGATATTTAGCGTTTTATAATTTTTTTACTTTACTTATACTCATTACTTAACTTCACCTTGTTCCTCGCTTTAATACCTTTTTGTCATTTTATATTAAACAGTTAATCAAATAGTTATTTATACCGAACATTTTTATATTAAATTAATATTTAACAGCCAACCACTAGTAAAACAGCTCATAGCTATTAAAACAGAGCTAATAACTATGAAAACAGCTAAATTTACCGAACAGATCCTAAATCAAGTTTAACTTTGAATTAAAATTTTTCTTTTTATCAAAAGTTGTTAATTTTTCAAGTGAATTAAAGGATTGGTAGATAATAAATTTAGTTTTATTTAGTAATGATGTTTTATCTGATTAATGTTCATTAATAGTTGTTTTGCGTGTCCAAAATTTATTTCTGACCTAATATATAATTATCGTATGAATATTTTTACAAAATATCAAATAATAAAATACAGTTAAATTGAATATTTTTTTTTTAAAAGTAATCATATTCAAATAAATAATTTTGAGCTATTCAACCTATTAGTATTATGTATTTATTATGTATTTGCTTGAAAATAGTGTCAAACTACTCTTCTTCATATTTATTTTGATGACTCATAGATTATATGAGCAGCCGCCTAAATGTATAATAACAATATATTTACCATTTAGTCCTTTTATTATTGTTTAATTACATTATTGCCATTTTAACTAAAAAATAATAATGCCTATGACCGTTGTCCCCTTTTTCCCTTCTTTTACTCCTTTAATGTCTTTTTTAAATACAGTGATGCGAATTTGCTGCAGATAGACAATTATACTTTTATGGCTTTAATTCATTTTGCTACTACTAGACAATTTTACTTTTATGCATTCAATTTATATAATATTATAATTTAATTACTTAATAATTTGTAAATAGTTAAAAATCGTATTAATTAATAGGTAGAACTTGAGAAATTTTTTAAAAAGTACAGCTTTATATGTTTAATAATTTTTTATAGCAAAAAGCAATAAAATAAAAAACACGAAATGCAAATTTTATATTTATCAAAAAAAAAACGTAGCATTAAAAATAGAAATGAAAATTTGAGAGCATAATTAAAACATAATTAAAAAATTAATTTAAAAAATTGCAATTATCTATAATTTTTTTTTATTTGCTATGTACTATTATTTTTTGTGAAAATATTAATTTTATCCATTCCGTTACTTCTTTACAAAAAATAAAATATAATTTTTTTTTCATTTTTTTTTTTTTTACTCTATTACCTACCCTTTTAACTTTTAAAAAAAAACACGTCCCTTTCTCCAAAAGAACAGCGGAACAAAATTTTTCCGTGAGCTTAGGCAGAGACCTCCATTACATTCTCTTCTCTTCTCTGCTGTCTCTGCATACGAATCGGGTAAGTAACCTATATCTTGTTTGCTCTTACCTTCTCAAATGATTTGAGTGAAATGTCCTAATCTGTTTTTTCCCGAGATCCCACATGTTTTTTTTTTTTTTTTGTGTTTTGCTACTTGCGTAAAAAGTTTTGTTCTGTTGTTGAAGAATTTTAGTATTATGAGTTCGGTTTGATTGAATTGATGTGTTTTTGTTGCTCTGTTTGATCTTGATAGTGTCCAACAGTTTTGATATGATGTTTTGTTCAGGTTTGCCTTGGCCTTGCAATCTTTGTGTTCTAAAATGACTTTATTAAGAAATTTCAATTTTGATCTGAAATTTTTCACTTGTTTATACCATCGTTAAAACTGAAATTCATGCCACCACCGTACTAGTGATCGTCAACGGCTAGCTCTACAAGTGTTCTTGTCTGTACTCATTTACATGTCTACATGGAGTGGAATTTGATTACTTTGCTTCACTTACCGCTACTCATAAATCAGTTAAAGCAAATACAGTTTCTCATACTCACAGGACATCCCACTCTTGCTCCGTTTCTGTTTAAAAATCTCCTAAATTTATCATTCATTTACAAGTCTACGCCAATTGTTTGATCAAATTCCTCACCCAGATCCATTTCTCTGTAATTCTCTCATCTCTGCTTACACTACACTTTCTTTGCATATAGAAGCTGTATAAGCATTTGTTTCAATGCACCATAAGAATATCGGATTGAATTTTTTCACATCTCTTCCTGTTATTAAAGCATGCTCTTCATTTCTGGCGATTGATGTGGGGAAACGTTTTGATTTTAAGTTATGGGATTGATTGTAATGTTTATTTTCAAACTGCAATGATGGATTTTATTCCAAGAATGGTGAGTTGGGTTCTGGAAGGAAGATTTTTTATGGGATGTTAATGCAGGATCCAAATACTTACATAACTGTTTGATTTCTGGGCATTCAAGGGCTGGTGATATTATAGCTGCACTGCAGCTAGTTGATTCAATGACAGAATGAACTGTTGTTTCGTGGAATGCCATGATTTCTTGTTATGCACACAATGGGCATCTTTACAACGGTTTGAAGATTTTTGAAAGAATGCAGGCTGAAAAATATTTCCTAACGAAATTACCTTGGTCATGCTGCTTTCGACATGTGCTAAGTTTGGAGATCTAGAGATGGGATTAATAAGTGAGAATTTTATTGATGGTAATGATTTTCGCGTGAATGTGATTCTTTCAACAGCAATATTAGAGATGTATGTGAAGTGTGGGGCTGTGGATGAAGCTTGGGGAGAGTTTGATAGGATGGATAGGAAAGATATTGTTATATGGAGCACTATGGTTGCTGGTTATGCTCAAAATGGGAGTTCAATTGAGGTGTTAGAGTTTTTTGAATGCATGAGAAGTGATCAAATTAAACCTAATGATGTGATGCTTGTTAGTGTTTTATCTGCTTGTGCACAAGTAGGCTCAGTTGAAAGTGGTAACCAAATAGGAAGTTACATAGAGAGTCAAGATTTATTGTCAAATGTCTATGTGGCTTCTGCATTAGTGAGTATTTATTCAAGATTAGGAAATATAAGTAAAGCTCGTGAAGTTTTTCGGATGCCTGCAAAAGATATTGTTAGTTGAAACTCGATGATTGTAGGTCTAGCTGTTAATGGCTTCGCAACAGATGTGATATCTCTTTACCAGAAAATGAAAAAAGTTGATGACGTGAAGCCAAATGACAACTTTTGTTGGGTTATTGACAGACTGCACTCATGCTGGACTTATTGAATTAGATGTTGAGTTTTTTGAAAGCATGAAATTAAATATTGAATCACACCAAAATAGAACATTTTGCATGTATTGTAGACCTCTATTGTAGATTAGGAAGATTAAAAGAAGCCTATGAGTTCATATGTAGCATGGGAATTCCGCCTAATATTGTGATTTATTGTGATTTTACTGGGTGCTTCTAGAACACACTTGAATGTAGAGCTTGCTGAGCTCTTTGTTGAGAAGTTAATGGAGATAGAGCCTGAGAATTCTGGAAACTATGTCCAACTTTCTAATATATATGCCAGTGTGGTGAGATGGCAAGAAGCTTTGGAAGTGCGAATCTTAATGAAGGATAAGAAAGTGCAGAAAATAGCTGTATATAGTTGGATAGAGTTGGAAAATCAAGTGCATAGGTTTTTAGTTGGCAACACTTTCCATCCTGCAATTGATGAGGTCTGTAGAATTGTTGATGGATTGACTTTGCAATCTGCATGGGTTGGTTATAATTTAGAATCTGAGTTAGAATTCAGATGATGCTCAAATATAGAGGATGATTGCGGTTGTTTCATCCAATGAAAGCTTTTGCAGATTGCAGTGCAGAATTTTGTTCAAATAACAAAATGATCTTCTTTAGTTCATGAAATAGCATGGAACAGGAAGGAAATATAATAGTTCTAGTTCAAATTTAGATGTGGAAAGGCATTTGGTATAGAAATTTTATAACCTTAAGTTTGGATGAAAATCCGAAATATGTAATAGTTTATTTTTTGTAACAAATATTTCTCAAATTTATGGAAACATGAACTTTATGAAGAGTGGAAAAGAATTATTTTATTGGGCACTCATCAACTATTCCATTCTGCAAACCGAACAAAGTCCAAAAGAGTTTAGGATACCAATTTTATAATTTGAATATTATAATTCAATAAATATGGTCATATATCTTACTTTTATGTGGATATTAGTTGTCCAACATTTTATTTTAAGTATTTACTGAGTTGAATAACTTGAATTAACCGCATGATAAATTCTGATGAGATAATGTTGCATCAGTTATTTCTGCACTATTATATTCAAAGAATGATAAACAAAAATAAAAAATAAAACTCTGAAACACATATACCTATGGTTTAAACTGTGTAAATGGTTTTGTGTATTTTTTGGTAAACTATTATGCCATGATAACATTTTTTATGTAAGTCATCACCAATAGGTTTGTTAGAACCACTTCCCATCCCAAGCCAACCACTGGAAAGCATATCCATGGACTTTATCGTGGGATTGCCCTAGCTAAAGGATGTGCTTGGATAATGCTCGCGGTTGATCGATTTTTCAAGAGGTCATGGTTGATCGATCTTCCAGGTACGGGGTGTTTGTTCTAGCCCCAGAGGAATACACTGCTGATAGCCCCAGAGGAATACACTGCTGAAATTTAATGTTGGCTATTATATCTAAATCTCAGTGCACTTCTATGCCATAAAATTTAATGTTGTTTCTCACTCAATTATAGATCTGTAGATACACTGCTGATTTTTCAAGAGGTCATGGTTGATCGATCTTCCAGGTACGGGGTGTTTGTTCTAGCCCCAGAAGAATACACTGCTGAAATTTAATGTTGGCTATTATATCTAAATCTCAGTGCACTTCTATGCCATAAAATTTAATGTTGTTTCTCACTCAATTATAGATCTGTAGATAAACATTTTAAGTTTGCTCTTTCATTGATACTTGAAGCAGAATTTGTTTTATCATTACTCAGTAGGCCATTTGAGCACTTTGCAATTCTCATCTGAAAGTTCCTGCATAAATGTGTCATCTGTTTTACATTTATTTTTTATAGCTTTTTTACGACTTCTAATTTTGTGCAGATTATGTGTTCGGTAATCACAAGTTTGGTGGAAATGCTCAATCTATAATAAAAAGTCGGTGGGTGCACCACACTTCCCTGTTATGGGATTATGATGTTAAGAACATGGCTTACTTCAAGCTACCTGCTCGGGCTCCCAAGTACAGATCTATAAGTTGTTATTTTGTTTCCTCTATTATCTTTCTTCGATAAGACAATATTTTTATTAAAAGTTTTATGAATCCTGTAGTAATGTGATTTATCAATTATTTCATTTGCTTTTCTTCTATGCATTAAATTTAATGTTTGTTTCTCACTTCATTATAGATCTGTAGATAAAACATTTTACAAGGTTTGCCTCTTCATTGGATACTTGAAGCAGAAATTTGTTTTATCATTACTCAGTAGCCATTTGAGCACTTTGCAATTCCTCAATCTGAAAGTTACTTGCACATAATGTGTCATCCTTTTTTAACATTTATTTTTAATAGCTTTTTACGACTTCTAATTTTGTGCCAGATTATGTGGTTCGGTAATCACAAGTTTGGTGGAAATGCTCATATCTATAATAAAAAGTCGGTGGGTGCACCACATTCCCGTTATGTGGATTGAGCACTTTGCAATTCTCATCTGAAAGTTCCTGCATAAATGTGTCATCTGTTTTACATTTATTTTTTATAGCTTTTTTACGACTTCTAATTTTGTGCAGATTATGTGTTCGGTAATCACAAGTTTGGTGGAAATGCTCAATCTATAATAAAAAGTCGGTGGGTGCACCACACTTCCCTGTTATGGGATTATGATGTTAAGAACATGGCTTACTTCAAGCTACCTGCTCGGGCTCCCAAGTACAGATCTATAAGTTGTTATTTTGTTTCCTCTATTATCTTTCTTCGATAAGACAATATTTTTATTAAAAGTTTTATGAATCCTGTAGTAATGTGATTTATCAATTATTTCATTTGCTTTCATTGCTAATACATAAAACATTAGAAGTGTATTATTACTGAGATTGACAAAAGTAAAAAATTTACAGTGATCGGTCAAATTGTATTTAGCGTGTTACTGTGAATACTCACATTGAGATAATGTGATCTGTTTTTTCTTGAAAATTATTTGTGTAACATAGAAAATTGGTTGCAAGCAGAAATGAGAGAGAGTAATTGTATTTTACACATTGTTCTCTTAACTAGATAATCTTCTTTTCTCCTTTTTTTATTTTTATTTTTTTATTTTTTTTACTTTTACTTTTCACGTACTTTTCATGTATACACACTGAAAGCATTAACTGCATCAAACATTGCCTAACTGCATTAATTACTAAGCTGGTGTATGAAGTTTACATTTTTGCTCTATCCTGTAGGCAAGAAATCACAATGAATTTCTCTGTAGAATGAAGGAGTATATTCCAAGATCAGTTTTCATTGAGAGAACCCTAGAGGCTCTCGAAACCCATTTCTCAGTGAAAGCAAACTTGGATGCAGTTCAGGCAACTAATGCAGAAGGATTTGTTCACTCCCCCAAGCTTCTTACAAAGCAAGAACTCGAGGATGCTAGGGAATCTATGCCAGAGAACATAGCTTAGAGTGGTTAGATTTTTTGCACCAAAAGAAAATTTTATTCGGGGTTGGAGAAGGGACTATGCTAGATATATGGCAATTGCCAGTTAAGCCCCCTAATTATTTAAAATTTATTGACATTTATCTATTTTAATTGCTTATTTTTTAATCGGTTGTTGCATTTGAGCATAATTCAAGTTCTCACAATACTCCATTGGAAATTGAATTTTATCATGATTATTGAAAACCTATTGATTGTATTAGATGCAAAAACATTTTTTTAAGCTATCCTGAGTATTGAACTTGCTAGACATCATACTGCACTCTTTAAAAACTTTTACACTTGATATTTTGTTGGCAGATATTTTGAGCCTCAACTCTAGACCTATTGATTCATAAGATTTTGAATGTACATTGTGTGTCTAATTTTTGCTTCTATGGGAATTCCAATGGGATGGTGAAAAATGGATATAGGGCACTATTCCCAGAATTATTTGTCATTATTTGAGAAAAATGCATCACACTTTGGTTTGAAGAAAATGTAGGAGTTATAATTTGGTTTAGTTTTTATAGTTGATTCCCTGATTGTGCATGTCAATTAACAAAATTAATGGCTTATTTGTCATTGTTTCCCTTTTTACCTAATTTTATTAATGGTTAGTGTCACACCATCTCTGGTTCTTGAGTTACTTGAGACTTATTTGAAAAAAAGTTTGTCCGGACTTGTTTAATAAATGAATTGGATTTTTAGCCTATTTTGGGTTTTCTTTTTGTTATTTTTAATTATAAATAAATTGAGTTCTTATAACATTTTAGGCTTAACAAAATATTATCTGCTTTACCTCAATCCACATGGATTTGTTCCTGGGCTAGAATCACCTCATGACCCAGAACGCATTTTGCTAGTCTAAAGTTTGCTATTCTTTATATACATTTTTTCCACCTTATATTTAGCCAATGTGGAATTTGCCTAAAGTGTTATAGTTCCAACTTGATTTTCAAATTAGATTGAGCTTGAATTTAAGTATACCTTTATCTGGATAAGTAGAACTTGACTCGACTTAATGCTCGCCCTCTCTTTCTCCTTTCCTCAGAGTTTTTCTAATGATATGCAGTTCATGTACCTAACAATTAACTATTGTTGACTTCTAAAACATTATTTGACCTAGTTTTTGGACACTCCAAGTGCATCAAGTGGCTCCTACTCCAAGAAAGTCCATAATGGTGGTGATATAGAGGTCTAAAAATATGGTTGGGTGCTTTAGTAATGAGGATGAAGATGGTCCACTGACTGAGACTTGAGATGTTAGCTGTTATGCCATGAAGTGATCTTCACATAGCTGATTATAAATATAAATTTCTAAATGTTAGAAGAATTATTTTTAATTAGCTCACACCGAACTTCTCTTAATTTAATTAGCTAATTTATGTTATAAAATAATAGGGAACTTTAATTTTTATTTACACTTTAAATTTAATTAAATTTTATTACGAGCAACATCAATTTCTGAAGCACTGAAGAATCAATATTTTACTTTGAAAGACAAATTGTCTTTCTGAAGCACTGAAGAGATCAATATTTTTTTCATATTTTTTTCATTAAATAATTGGTAAAAAGATTGCACATCATTTAAATTATTAATAAATAATTTTCCTCTCTTTTGCATGCCCCTAGCACAAGTAATCATGGTACGGATAATTGGATACAAATTTACCCATGTACTTTTCGCAAAAAATTTTGTGGCACTCTCAATTTTTATTGTTGACCCGTTGAACGTTTCAATTTATAAAATTGTACGTATTAAATATTTTATTTGACCTATTAAATACTTCAAGTTATAAAATTGGATCAATTAAACACTTATTAAAAAATTAAAAAATGTAAAATTGATGTTCCAAAAGTTGTACTAACCAAATATCAAATCAATATTTTACATATAAAAGTTAAAAAATCTTAAAGTTTACTATTTTTAGTGTAAGAAGATGTGAACTTACAAAAAATGAAGTTAAGGGTTTCACAAAATCGATTTTATAGTCAAGGATGCTACTAGATTTTTTTTTATCAAAGTTTAAAAATTAAATGATGTATTCAGCCTGGAACAGATTCACTTAAAAAGGTAGAATTATAGACTCCTGTCATTATAAAGTGCACACTGTCTTTGCATTATATGAAATGGAAAGAACAAGAATTAAAAAAAAAAAAATTTTTTTGAAATACACAATTTTAACATTTTCTTTTATACAAAAGTATATAAACAAAGAATGAAAAAATATTTTTATGAAATTAAACATTTTATTTAATTTCTCCTCTCCTATGTTGAAATTTAGAATAAAATTTAATGAATTAAGTTCAGTATATAGTATTATATATATTAAAATATTCATGCGTTTGCTAAAAGAAATTTAAAATAACTTATTATATTATTATTTTCTCTGTTTCTACCAAATAATATGTTTGTTTCTATTTTTACATAAATTAAAGTAAATTATTTAATATAGTTTTAACTGCACTTTTTATAATATGCTCCTACATTAATATTTGATGGTTTATGAAGAATTGAATAAAAAAATTTTATTGATAATAAGTAAATTAAATATTGATATATTAGAGAATTAATAAATTTAATTTATATTTTTTAAAAGAAAAATAGCCAATATTGATGAAAAAATACTTGTGAAAATTTTAAAAAAAAAATGTAAATAAAGATTTAATAAAACTTAAAATTTAAAATTTTAATGTTTATTCTTAATGTTAGAATATTTCTCTCACCATAAAATTAATCACATAGTTAAATAAAATTCTACTTCTTTATTAATAAAATTATTTTTTGATGATTTTTTAATTAAACCTAGAGAGAATGAAATGATAAAAGAATTAACGGTGAAAGAATGAAGAAAAAGAAAAAAAGAGGAATGTGAGTGCCACCAATAATATTGTTGGGGATTTGTGAAATACGCGCTTTTATAGGAAGAGTGAAGCAAGTGAATGACATTATAAAATTAAAAGAGTTTCCACTCAAATCGCATAAGTTTTGTAAATGGTTAGAGTGAGTCCTCTCTATATGGTAGAAATTGTTGTGTGTCTCCATGTCAGCTTTTAACTGGTTCATTACCGGAAAATCGATGAGCAACATTTTTATGTTATTCCAATAATAGTTGAGAAATTTTTAAATAACGAATTTTCTGTGTAATAGAACCAAAATGGAGCGAAGAAATCCATAACAGTTGAACAACACTCTAGGAAGCAAGTATGCTACCTAGAATACCTCTCTTGCTTGTAGAAAATGAAAGATATCCATTCCGTCTCAAGAGAAAGCAATTTTCAATCCGTCTTTATTCTGCAATGACAATAAAAAAAGCTCTGGGGCAAACGATATTGAATGTGGGTCACATAATGTTTTCTTGCACGGATAACTCTATGTGGCACTATTAAGAGAGATGTTAATGTCCACAACAAAGGTCCTTGTAAAGTCGGATAAGAAAAAAAAAATGAAGGATGCAAGATACATGAAAAACGCCGTCTACAAAGAAGTTCTGCTACCAAATAGATTACAAAATACGTTCAGAATTTTCATCAATGATGTTAAAACTACCAACATTCAAAATAATAAAAGTAGTGATTTTAACTTTGCGGTGAGACAGTTTTCTGAAAAAGGCTAAATCACTTATCATACAACAGCTCTTCAAAATTTTTAATATCTTATCATGCATATAATAAACTTTTGAAATAAATTAAGTAGAAGTAAAATTATATGATAAATAAAAATAACGAGTGTCCACGTGCAACACACGTTCTAAAATACTAATGAACAATAGATATATTATTCACACCAGTGACAGTTATACATGCATTTAATTCTCTAAATAATTAGCGGCAGATCCACTTTAGAAAAAGGTCGTCAGTTGACCTCTCCTTTTTTCAAACTTCCCTTTTATATATATATAAAACTTCCCTATTTAAATATTATTATATATATATACTTATATATATTATATATATTATACTATATATAATATAATATATATATATATATACACTTTTCTAAATTACACATTCTTAAATCAAATAAAAGATAACTTACGACGTTGCATGCTCAATTGGCGATGTACGCATTAAGCATGTGAATAAGAGCTCTCGGTGTGAGTAGTTTTCACTCCTGACTAACCCGAAGCCAAAATTACTGAGTGGTTTACACAATAAAAAAAAAAAAAGAAATCAAAATAGAAATGCAATAAACATTTAAATTTGTGTTACAGAACGCAATGTAAAAGAATCCTCTCATCTTCGTCTAACATATATACACTTTTCTAAATTAACATTTCTTAAAATCAAATAAAGTAACTTACGAGTTGAGTCTCAATTGGCGATGTAGATTAAGCATGTGAATAGAGCTCTCGGGTGAGTAGTTTTCACTCTGACTAAACCCGAGCCAAATTACTGGTGGTTTACACAATAAAAAAAAAAAAGAAATCAAAATAGAATGCAATAACATTTAAATTTGTGTTACAGAACGCAATGTAAAGGAATCCTCTCACTCTTCGTCTAACAGTTAAATGAAAGAGTAATCCCCATCCCGTTAAATCACTTTAACATTAAAGTTCAGAACATTCTTGATAACATAATTGGAATTTAAAAAATTAAAAATCCATTTATTTTGTTTTTTAAAAAAAAAATGAAAATCCAGCAATTGATCTCAAGTGTCAAACGAGTGTTTATTTTCCTCAATATTGAAACTTTCTCAACTTATAATACAGTACAAAAGAATTTTTTATTTTTTTAACAATTCCAAATGAAAGTTCAACTACCATGCAACTTTTGCAGAGGAAAATTTTGTGACTACAAAATTTAATACTATTAGAAAGACATCATACCTCCTTTATAATATCGATATACACACGAGAGGTTTGAGATTGAGTTCACTAGCAATACATTCATTAAGAGATTTATGATCTATAACTTGGTTCAATTTACAAAGGTTAATTATACTTTCACTTTTTCTGCAGCTTCCTTGATTTGTTCTATAGTAAAGATGCCAAAAAAGTCATCATCTGTTATTGCATTTATCACTGCAAGTGCAACATCATCCACATTAACTGGTGGTGCCAAAATGAGATCTGATGCTGGAAGAGAACTTAATGGTTTGGTGAAGGTTTCGGTAGCACGGAGAATTCTCTCCACTGGTTCCCCAATCAAATCTAGAGGAATCTCAAAACCATCAACCCTTCTTTTTCCATAGATGAAAGCGGGTCTTAACACAACACCTGAGAGCATTCAAATTCAAGAACGGTCATAAACACATTTAGTGATACAAGTTAATGTTCGTTAGTCAGACTTATGGCCCTTTTTTCTTTCATAATTGATATTCCAACTTAAAGAATCTTGATCATTCATAGAATTCTATTCAGATGCATATCGTATTTATCACATCCATTTACTTTTTTTTCCCATGAAAGACATCAATAGTCCTAAGCCATTATATGCAACAGGAATGCATCTTCAAAATCATATGCTTAGAGCCATTAAGGCAATGCCAAGAAGTAGTACCGGAGTTTGGATACTTTGAAAGAACCTCCGACTCTGCTTTCCTCTTTCCTGTGAAGTATCCAGATGAAAGTAAAAATGATGGTAGATTATAATCATGCACCGAGATCAAGATAAACTTGGGAATTCCTGCAAAGGGAAAGAAAAGAAAAAATGTAAATAACCTCCAAGCTCAAATTTTTCTTGGTAATAGATGACCTGCTAATTCAAATGCAGTTTTGATGGATGTTAGTCAAATCAATGTCAGCATATATATAATACAATGAATTAAGACCTGGTCACCTGGTGCCTGGTGGCATCTCTAAATTTATATTTGAGGACTCTTCACCAGTATATTAGATGATTAATGATTAATGATTGTTATAAATGTTATCGACCTAAAATGATTTGCCGTATATTGTGCCTACTGAAGACATTTTTTTTTTCTAGAACTTCCTTTTATGCCATATAACTGTAATAATTATTCAGTGTCTCAACTATTGAAAAATTTAAGATGAAAATTCATTAAAATACAATACGAGTTACCACACTTGCTCCAAACTTTTAACTCCAACCGATTGCCAATAAGTTAAACTGAAATAACTCTATTAGTTATGCCATCAGCATAACATGCCCAAGACCAAGTTTCAATTTATCTTCTATATTACTTTCCTTTTCCAAAACCAAATATAAGTGAAGCCACTGTATCTTAGTTACACACACAACAGAACAAAATAAATCATCCATACGACGGCATAAAAAATAAGAATAAGGCGAAGGGCATTAGAAGCATCATGTACCATGATACAAGCACAGAGAAATTCTATTGTAACTTGTTACACAAGTGCCATTTATGATGAGTTGAGGTAACAAATATATATTTTTCAATAAGGATGTAATAGTCCAAATCCAATAATTATTACCATCCTTTCTTCAACATTGACTAGCTAAAAGTGGAGCATTAAAATATTTCTTCTTACAAGTTCAAGCATCCAAACATACAGAACTGTTCATGACACCCTTTCCTTTCTTTCTTTTGTGCCATGTTTCAAAAACTAATCTTTAATTCAATTCGAGTGTAACACTAAATCAGACCTACAAGTTCTGTAAGTCGGCAAAACAGTCATGTTATCATGCATTCATTGTCATATTGAAAATTACTACTTAGAATGGGAATAATGCTCCCTCTATAAGCAAAATGATGAGACCATCATTTTTCTTGTAGTGACAGCAATGGTTTAGTACTAGGTGACAATTGTTCGTCACACATTAACAACAGTTTGTCAACTATTAAGTCACCGTTTCCTGATTTTGCTGCTTGCACCTTTTGATTATATGATGTTTCACTATCAATGTATAACAAGACATTAGCAAACATTGTTCTCCCTAACTTGGTGAACTAAAAAAAAACATTTTTCATTTATAATAAGAAGAAAGCAGTAATATTTTCTTTTCCGTTATCACCAACAAGGTGCACGCTAAGCATGCATATCATATGAAACCTATCTATTTCTAATGCACTTTTGTGTACCCTCTTGAGTCTTTGGTCCTTCTAAAAGGTGTTTACCACAGAGCCAACAAGTGACCTGTTAACTGAGTTACAAGAGTGCTTACCTCCTAGTAAATGAGATCATTGCCAATTAAGATAATGATTAGATTTTTGGTTCACCTTATAGTTGAGAGTTCTTACCAAAATTCTAGTAGATGAGATCATTGCCAATTAAGATAATGACTTGAGTTTTGGTTCACCTATAGTTGAGAATTCTTACCAAACTCCTTTGCAGCACTCACCGCGGCAACATTTGCCTCATCATTAATTTTTAGCATCTGTTCTTCACTACCAAAACCTCCAAGAGTTGAAACCACTGCAGTGGCACCTGCTAGAACTTCATCCCAGTTTGCATAGAAAACATCTCCTGTATTATATAAAGACAACTTTAACATATCACGTCTATACTGAAATCATTCATATGTAATGGAAGCTAAAACTCAGTATAGAATGGACTGCATATAACATTTTCAGAATCATTCCAAAGGCATTCTGAAGGCTCACAAAGTGTTCACAAGCAGACATCAAGCTAAAAGTTTAATCCAATGTCATAAATCATAACCGATTACTCTGTGCGGGACAAGATGAATGTAGCTAATTGGATTACATTGTTCCATATTCTTCCCTGAATTTTCTTGATGTTCATTTATCAGAAAAGTAACTGTAATTTTGAGGGAATACTTCCCAAATCAGCACCTATGGAATCCATAACTGGCAGTTAAAGCGTGAGGTGAAAATGCAAAAAGAAGAGTTACATGATACAACAGCTGTGGCCACATGGATAAGACTGAGCAGTGGCAGGTGTCAATGATTCTGGAGGCAAGGAAAGAGTAAATCAATCACTGCCTCAAAATGATATAGGGAAGAATTGGTGTCTCAGGAAGGCATTAATTTTATACCAAAAAATTTAAAATGGGGTTGAAATTAAGCTAGTGGATTTTATGGTACTGTAAAGGCAGCAGCTGCAACATCACAAGAACAGTAATCAGTAGCAGTTGCTAATCTCCATTAATTTACATAATTATGCATTTTTTCCTCTAGATTTACTGAAAAATGTTAACAGCATCATCTACCTTCAATTATTTTACATATCTACATGATTTTCACTAGGAGTTGAATAGATTGTGAACTAACTTCATTGCTCTTACGTGTTAACCATAAAAGGTCACCAAAAAAACATGTAGACGCCTAAACCTTCTGATTCTGAGATAGATTCTGAGGCTTATCAGGCATTAAAAAGAACTAAACATCAGGTTTCCTTTTGAACAATCTCAATTTCAAATGGAACAAATCAAAACAATAGTTCGTCTGACAAAGTCAAAATACACAAGGAATTGACTTTTGAGACTGGTCATAGCAGGGTTGGGAATGAAGAATCCAGTTGCTTGTTTTCTTGAGGATTTCTGCATCAGAAAAATAACCAAACTAGAAGCAAAAAATGACAATCAGTATTCATGCACTTGCTTCCTCTGCTATTGCATCAATTCTACACAAATCACTACATTTCTCAGTTCTTGTTACACAATATATCTGCTAAAGCTACAAAATTTATATATCACTACTATTGGTTTTATAACAACACTGGCAATCTATTCAACAGTGCATAAAGAATAGGATGTACCTGGTATCCAAGTAACCTGATCTACCCATGAACCAGGGTAAGTAGGGCGCCCTGACCTGAGGAATGATGAAAGTTTCAGCTTCTAATAATGGGGGGAAAAACAAGAAGAAGATGACAAAAAAATTTGAGAAGTTTCTTAGCCATCAAGAAATCCAAAACTAACATTCAACGATTACAGGGTAACAACAAATAATAGCACAAGAACTACAAAGATATAAATAAACATGTATGCCAATTGTTTGAAGAATATCTCATACCTGTTTAGGCTTATAACCTCTATGCCCTTAGATACAGCAGCCTTACATATTGCAGAACCGACAAAACCATTGCCTCCTAGGACTACAACCTACTAATGAAAAGCATGCTTGTAAGATTCTTTTAGCTGAAGAGCCCAAAGATGAAAAATGCTCTCCACAAGAAAATAGAAGACAGTGATAAGCGCAGCCGTTTCTACCCGTTCAGTCTTCACATCAGCAACAACATCAATTGCAGCAGATTTGTAATCATCCTTTACACTTGTTTGTGCATAGTTGCACCTGACACGAAACTTACACAAGCTGAAAGCAGATGAATAAGCATGTCACTTTCAATTTCAAATTCAAATCACAATGTGCACAACATGAAGAATATTATTAGACTAGAAAATGGAAAAATCTGACAATATCCACATCAATATCTATGAAATTCCTGCTAATTTTCTTGTTGCTGAGGCTTATGATACAAGTTGTGAATTGAGCAGCTACAAATTGCGCATGACATAAAAGATTTGGCTGTCATAAAAACTCTTCCTGATAGAGACTAGACAGGTATGATTTTCTACTCTATCCCACATTCCTCCTAGTTGTTCGGTGTAAGGCAATGAAAAAAATAGAAGCATGTAGTTTCACGCCACATTCCACTATAATTTACAATTAAAAGATTTCTCTCTCAAAGACATTATGGAAGGATATTTAGATTATGATACTTGAACCAAATAGTACAAGTTCAGTAGAATTTCCAAATGGAATCTAAATTACTTAACAGAACAAATTTTGCTCAACTCTAAACTAATACCAAATAGACTTTGCAAATGAATTCTACATTTGATAAGTGGGATACCCAACATGAGAATTCATTTATAAACAACTTTTAAATGAAATTCATATGCAAATGAAATGAATTTCTCATCCGTCTGATCCAGACATTATGTAAAGCGAAAAGCTTTAAGTTTCTATGGCTTGATGACAACTGCTCAAACTTAGTAAAATTAAAATTTTCCAGTTCTTTTTTTTTTATTTATAACAGAAATGGGGATAAATTACAGTTCTTTATTAGAAAATTAAAGAAAAAAAAGAGTAATCACTGACCAGAAGCAACTAAGCTTCAGAAATAGAATGAATTGAATTTCAATTTCAATCAAATTAATAAATTAAAAAATATATATATATATATATAACAGCATAAAGAGTGATTACCGGTTATGAAACTGCGAATTCCCCTGAGTTGGGAAGGAAGCTCGAGAGATAGAGGAAGAAGAGGCAAGAGTGGAAATCGCAGAAGAAGCTGGAAACGACGTCATTTCAAGCCAGCTACCAAACTGGTTGGTTCCCCTTCTTTGGGATGAAGAAGAGCTAAACGTGGAACGGTGATATTTGTATTGCGCCATAATAATAATAACTGACGCAGGATGACATAAGCACCCTCATAGGACTAAACGCAGTCGTTTTATGACATAAGGCTATGTTTGGAAATAAAATAGAAAATTGAAATGAGAATGTAAACTGCTAGTCCACTACTTTGCACGCAAAATAAAATGGCTAATTATAAATTTAGGTGCGGTTTGTTATTAAGTTTGTTGTTTTTCGTTGTTTTTAGAAAACAAATAAAACGTGTTTGTTTGTTATAAACTTGTTATAAATTTGTTGTTTTTCGTTTTTTCGTTTGTTATAAATTTATTTACTTAAAATTGTTTTATTTTTTTTCTTTATTTTTTTAAAAAATATAAATTTTATAAAACTCTAAATAGTGGTTTATATAATTTGTTTACTTTTTTTTTTTTTTTTTTTGAAAAGGACTGTGTTTTCTATTTTTAATTTTACATTCCTCCTTTGTTATTTTTTATATGATTCATCTTCATAAAGCTATTGTTGTTATTATTATTACAATTATTTTTATCTATATAAATCTAATGTCATTTATTTATCTAGAATTAAACAATTGGATAGTTTTTTATCTCTATTAAAATTCTTTATTTTTTATTTATTTTTTATTTATTTATCTTCATAAGCTATTGTTGTATATTTTATTACAATTATTTTATCTTACTATAAATCTCAATTAGTCAATTCTTATTTATATTAGAAATAAAAGATTGCGATAGTTCTTTCTATCATCTATTAAAGATTCGTTTATTTTTTATTTATTTTTTATTTAGGTTTATAATTATATTTATTTATATTTCTCTATTTATATAAATTTATATGTCATTTAATATTATTTATTTATTAATACTTTGAGATTATATTTTTATTACAAGTTGATTGTATACATTGATGTAACTCCACATCAAATAGTACTGTTATTTTCTCTATTTATATAAATTTAATGTCATTTAATATTATTTATTTATTATAATACTTTGAGATTATATTTTTATACAATTGATTGTATACATGATAATCAATCAATAGTTACTGTAATTTTAAAATTTAAAAATTAAATAGTGAAATATTTTTAATTATTTTGTCTCAATTTTTGAATTTTTATAATTTTTTTTAATTTTTAATGGCTTAATAAGGGAGAAATTTAGTATTTGGAAGAATTTTTCAGAACCAAAAGAAAATAAAAATAATTTTAGAAAATAAAAACAGTTTTGAAAAAATAAAGTAACCAAAAACTAAAACTATTTGATGTTTTTGATAAATAAAAAATTAAAAACAAACAACTATAATAAACAGCGTTTTAACGATTGAAGTTTTAATTTTTTTTCTATTTTGAAATAGGGATGCAAAACATTTATAACTAAATATTATTTATCTAATTAAGTGCACTTAATTGGAATTTTTTTCTTGAAAATTTAAAATAAAATATTTTATTGAATTGCTTTACTATATTGTAACATTTCTTTTTTATTTGTTTTCTCTCCTTTTCTTTTAATATTGTAAGATTTTTTTTAGAGAGAAGACTTATAAGACATCAAAAATTAAAAAAAAGAGAGATGAATGAACGTTTATATTTGAGATCATCTATAGTCCATTTTAATTTGTCTATGAAATAATCTAGCTAAATGCATATAATTGCAACTCTTTTAATAGTTTTTAAATGTTTGATTTGAAATTTCTTCTATTTAGATACCAAAATAGAAAAAAATTAGAAAATTCCAAAACCATATATATATATTTGAAAGATAAAAATCAAGTGGATTAAACAACATAAAAGTTTGAAAAAGAAGAAAGGAATGAAGCCCAAACTTTGATGCGGACATTTGAATGTGATGCCCTTGCAAAAGCGTAGACAATCACATTTTCTTACCTCTTTACCCATCTAACACTTAGATTTTGCCTGCATAATGCAATTGTCTTACAATCCACAATTACCAAGCCAAATTCAGAATTATCTAACATAGTATAGAACAACACATTTTAAGAATCAACAAAGATTGAATCAGGTGAATGCCAATTTAACTCAATCCAATGCAATATACACCGGAAGAATTGAGCTTCAAGAAGAATTAGAAAGTCCATTAAAGTAACCTTATGAAAGCCATAAGAAGTCTTCCTTCCAAATCCTAAAAAATAGCACCATAATTAGAATATCCAAGATTTTTAAATAGAATTCCATCCAAAAAGCAATATCATTGACCTTTTTGAAAGGATCCAAATAGAGGTACATCGCTCTCATTTGAATGGGAATACATGGCATGTGACATTATGGTCACTATAGAATGTCAATATTTTAGACTTTGTTGCACAGCTTGATGGACATAATTATCTGATTGCAGCACTTGGTTCCAAAGATACAAATTTCTTGAATGCCAAATTTTTCGAGCATAAATAATAAAAGTTCCAAGTTGATAGAATAAAGTTGATAGAATATATAACCCAAAATGAAACAAAAATTATGTTTTCGTTCTTTCATTTGATTATAAAAATGAAAAGTGGAATGAAACATAAAAAAATATGAAAATGGAAAATAAAGATATATTTTAATTTAGTATTTAAAGGAGTATATTTAGTTTTTGCTAAAATATTTTTTATCTATTCCATCCCTCACTTGGATTCATACTCTTGCTTCATTCCCTTCTTATTTTCTATTTTTCCCTTCCACATTTTATTAGGCTTGATATTTACCAAGACCAACCCCTTTTTTCTTTTTCTGTCCTTTTTTTCTCTCTGGATTTGATGAGAAATTTAAACTCGAGTCTAATCCGTTAAAACTAAAATTAGGAGAGGAACAAAATTGAACCAAATGAGTATAAGAAAAACATATTGAAAGTTTTAAAATTGGATTGTCCAAAGAGTTTGGGTTGGACAGACATCTATATTTTTGGGAAAAAGCCACCTCTCTAGATTGTGAACAAACTAACACATACCTTCTCCTATATTCAAAAAACTAATGAATGTCTTTCTAAATTATGTGTTCGTCACACATTCACCTCCTTTCATCCAAAATTAAACTCATTTTCTTCAGTTGGCTTATTTAAATGAAGTAATAGGAGAGATAAAATAATTTTAAAAGACAAAGAGTACTCTTTACATTGGGCTTATAAGAGGTTATAAAACATAGGATTAGGGTTATTTGTTTTCTAATCTTTATCATGTCTTCTTCAAGTGTTGCCAACAATAAGGTAGAGGGAAGATTCATCAACACCTACTGCAAGTGTGGAAAGAGGGATAGGATTCGCATATTTAAGATGCAAGGAACCAAAATAGGTCGTACTGTTATTATTAAAGTAACTTGTGTTGATCACTCTTGGGTTGATGCAAAGCTACTGAAACTTTGAGTGGCTTGAATGCAGTAGATTCTGTTTATTTTGGAGTGAGGGAAAGAAGTAATGGCTATAAGCTGAAGAGTTTAGAGATGAATTAATGTGGCTGCAAAATGAGGTAAGAAAGCTTTCTGGAAAGGTTGAGGATTTAGAAGATGTCTGAGGACATTTGTGGTTGCATGCTTCATTTCTATATTGTCATCTTTGCTGTTGTCTTAATAGGGAAGCTGGGATAGGTTATTCTTAGGCCACTTTAGCTATAGGTAATTGCCAAAGAAAATAGCCTTATACTTAGTTATATAATGTCAAATCAGTTTGGACTTAAATATAATATATTAATTCATATTTGCTTCAAATTCAGTTTAAATTTCACTATATATGTGTTAAAAATGCAAAATATGTGTTTAAAATTTTGCAAAGTTGTAGTATTCATGTGTTAAAAATTCTACAAAGTTGCAGTATTTTTGTGTTAAAAAAATGTATGCAAAATAATCAAGATACAAGGCATAAAAACTGCTTGTTGAATGCAATATTTATGTGTTAAATCCAGAATATAAAAGTTATCTTGTTAATTAATATAGAACTAAATAACTGTCAGTTGCACTTTAAATCAGTTCACAACATGTTAGTAGAGGTGTGCATGAGACTTGTCAGAACAAGGATTATAAAATTTTTAGTCCCATCCCAAACTTTCGGGGCTAGAATAATAAAGTCTTAGTCCTGTCCAATAATCAATTAGTCTCATCTTATCTCGTCCTATCCCATCTCGTTATTAGGACGAGACAGGATGAGATGAGACAGTACATGATAGGTTGGATTGGAAATTTATTAAAATTTTCCATATTCAAATCAATGTATAATATTTTCGTTTAAATAAAATTGAGATTCGAATTTATTTCTTAATAATACTAAGAAAGAGCATAAAGTGACTATGTAATAATTAACCTTGTGATATTCATAAACAAGCTTACCATTCTAGTAATAATAAGACGAAAAAACCGTTTCAAAAAAAGAATAATAAGACAAAAAAAATTAACTATCAAAATAATAAATAAATAAGTAAACAAAAAAATGACATATAATAATAATCTAGACATATAATAATAATCTAGTATCTAGCGTCCAAATATTTAAATAAAAAATTTAATATTCAAATAAAATGTGTAAATAATAATTATATACTCTAAATATCCAAATAATAAACAAATAAAATAAATACTAAATTAACTAAAATTATAAATATCTCACTAAAAAATTATAAATATCTCTTTAACTATCCAAGTTTGCACTTTGAAGAAGGATTTGAGAAAGATTTGGATCTTAATAATTTTTGAAAATCACAAAAAACAAAAATAAAAATAAAATCAGCTGCAAGTTTCAATATTTAAATCAGTTAATAATAGTTTAAAGAAAATAAAAGTTAATTTACCTTTTTCGAACTTTGCAAGTTGTTCAATTTGCTATTCAATTCTAATAGTGGATGTAGAATTTCTCAACCAATCTTAGCAACAAATGATGATCTCAACTGTTGTAGGATTTAAAGAACTCCTAAATAAATCTAAGGTTCTTCCACCAGTGCTAAAAGTAGACTCGAATATTACAGTAGAGCATTGGACTGCTAAAGCATTGGACCACATTGCATTTTCCTTCCACCACAATAACAAATCAAAAGTCATTATAAACCTCTCAAGTTG